TGACCTGACTAGGTATTATGTACAAAAAAGACACATTGTTGATAATTTGCATGAATTTGGAAAATACAATTTTATACAAAAAATTTTACATTTACTCAAGTGATTGACTTCACCATATTAAAATTAATGTCGATATTTATCTTGAATTTTTATAATTGATCGATAAACTTGCCCACACAACAAGAGGAATGAAAATTTATGCTTGGTTTGTGTGCTAAAAATGTAATTTATTTGCCGTTAATCAAACAGGTTTCCTCCGGAAAAAAATGGTTAAGATTAAGTAATTGATGTAGTTGGAATCCAAAGAAGAACTCAACAATTTGCAGCAAACATTTTGGAAAAGTATAAAAAAAGTAAAATAAAACCAATCTTATTATAAGGAGCCATATCTACGTTATTTGTACCAGTAAGTATACTTCAAAAATTTAACTTAAAAACTTTTGATAAAGATAAAGATAGATTTTATACATCATGAAACTGTAGTACATTAAAGATGTATCTATTTATCAAACGATAAAATGGATAACCTTACTTAACCACCCGCACCTCATGGTCACACTAGTACAATATTCATAGCATCACGCTATTTTCCACAAGAGGTTGGGTTTTCTTAATATACATATGATATACATGAAATGTATATTAAAAAATAAAGAGTACATATGTATTGTCAGACACTTGGTGCACTTTAATATATCCTGTGTATTTGGGTAGTCCCTGTTAATATCATTATATTATAAAATTCATGCAGCTAAAATAATAATAAGCTTATTATTACTTTAAAATTTTCAGGGACAGATGATAGAGAGAGAGAGAGAGAGAGAGAGAGTAGCCTCATAAACCCATTAGTCTTTAAACAGAGCAATCTTATTTAACTGATTCCCACTAAGTTTCTTTACTTAAATTATTAAGTTTACATTCATATTTAAGCTATATGTAAAATAAATTTCTGTAATGTATTTAACTGTTCATTATTAAATTTTTATAATTATTAAAAGTAGTACTTAAAATATGAAAAATAAAGCAGGCATTATGTACTCTGTGTCCTCGTTTTTATTTCACCAGTAAAATATTTTATAAAATTATTATATAAAATACAAATAGGCATTAATTAAGTATCTACTTGATAAAAATTATGTTGAATGAAAAATTCCGAGGAATCTGTCTATGGCAGTAATTTTTTTTTTAATGTCCTAAATACAATTTTCCGAGCTGATTCTTGGGGTCCCTGATTCTCTTCAGAGATAGAATTAAAATCCAACAAAACGTAGGTAGGTGCTGCTTATTCTCGAGAGCATGTTATGTGTATATTTTTTAAATTATTTTACAATATCATGTTGAAAATTGACGGATGACGAGGCTGCACACTTCGCGATTATGCATGGTGAGCGCGCTCAGGAAGCCACGCCCACCATGCTTTCGCGGCAAGTACAGCCTCATCACCGACGATCTCTGATGATGCATCCTATGGGACGTCATGTTAGTGTGGACTTTTCTGTCCAGGGCGTTAAATTCAGTCTGAGTCCACCTGAGTGTGCCAAAGGTATACATGAGGACAGGCATGACCCAGCCGTTATATGCGTGTGTCTTATTCACACCGGACAAAAGGCTGTTAACACTGCAGTGGTCGCACCTTATAAAATAACGTAAATGGTCGCGTGAATAACGTATGTATTCCAATTTAAAACAAGAAGAAAGCTTTAAAATATCAACTAAAATGTATTTTTATTTTTTTATAAATAGGAAACAGGGTAACATTTAGTCAACGGTTAATCATATTTAATAAACAAAAACCATTTATACGTCTTTTTTATTCAAATTATAATGTTTAAAAAACTTTTACATATGATATATGAAAATATCATATTAATTTCAAAGTTAGATTACAAATCAGTTTACATATTTTTTTCTAATAATTTGGTTCTTGAAGTATCTAAATTTGATATTATTTTACAGTGGTTTACTATTGTAATCCACGCGACCGCTGTAGGGTTTAAGCACTTTAGTCAAGCGTGCATAAAAACTGACAAACTGACTGTTTCATACCAGCCTCATCAATACCGACATTCTATGACATACCCAGGTATCGGTATGTTTCAGCCTCGGAAAGGGTCCTTAAGTTGAGGGGCATAGATAAGTCTATGCCTTCAGAGTTAGCAACCCTTCCCCTTTCGAAATGCATTATTATAACTATTATTTTTTTATAGAATAAAGATGACAAGCAAGCACATAGCCCACCTGACGGTAAGTGGATGCTGTGGCCCATAAACACCTACATCCTCAACTCAGAATTAAAAAGCAGATGTGTTGCCATCTCTGAGGACCATGATGGAATCCTCATATCTTGTAAAAAGGGTATCTGGTTCTCCACACTCATAACATGAAACACAGCAGCATTGAGCTGCTATTTTATGTGGTATTCTGTGAGAGCATGATCCTGCCCTCGTCCTGACTTGTGTGTGCTACAACTATAATATAGCTGCAGCATGGCTCTACCATGTATAGATTTTGTTTTTTGTTCAGCAACCCTGCTAGAGAATGTGTCTATAGGCTGCGCGGAAGTGCTAGTCATCGCCTTAGGTATGCAAGCGGCGAGACGGGGGAGGACGCGATTGACAAGACGCACACGAGATATTTGAGGACAGATAAATCTCCGGATAACCATGTTAGAAACTGTCTTAATTAACATAATGGGTAAATTATTTATATTTTCCGGGCTAAACAAAAATTAACACGTATTTAAAAGCGTTAATTAGATTTTATTATTTATAATACAAAACAGTTTTCTAAACTCACCACCCAAATTAAACCTAAATTACCTTACTGCGAGAATTCTATGTTCGACCTGTGGGTTCGTATCACAAATAAGGAGGTTATTAAAACCTTGCGGTGTCTAGACATGAATAAAGCTAGTGGACCAGTTGGTATACCAGCTATAGTTCTATAGCGAAATTCGTTATAGCACAAAATTAATCCATATCTTCTTCTTCTTCATTACTATACATGTCTTCAATTTCCATATCCTCCTCAGAATCTGAATCGTTTCCCAGGTTTATGATCAACTCGTCTATTACATTGTCAAACCTCATATCGTGGTCCCAATATTGGTTCTCGATTTTCTGTACGTGGTCGTCACACTTTTGCCATCTTCCCGGAGTGAATTCAGAAAACAATTTTGTGATGATTGGAATTTTGTCGTCCAATGAAGTATTTATATAATTTGTAGCTAAATTGTTCTTTATATCGGCCCACACAAGCTCAATGGGGTTGAGATCAGGATGATATGGCGGAAGGCGAAGAACGATATGACCTGAAGCCTTTAATATTTCGTCAATGACGTAAATTTTTTCGGACTGAGTTCTATTTATCAAATGAAAGAGTTCGGCTTTTGTATTATCTGGTGTAAATTCAACATTACGTTCGCGTAACCAATCTTGCATGTCCCTTTTTAAACTTGACATAGTAGGTTTTTTCTTTACCTGTACACAATGGTAGGAGGCATTGTCCATTACGACCACTGAATTAGGAGCTAGTTTATTTTTCAATTTGTGACTAACCCAGTTATGAAAATTTGTGGCATTCATATCGCCATGGTAATCCCCACATTTCGAATCTGATTTGAAAATTGTTAAGGCACCGTTAACTAATCCGTCTCGGCTACCACCATGAACAATCACCAAACGACGCCCTTTGCCAATATCAGCATAAATTCCAGGCTCAGATTCGGATTGCCAACACATATTGGAGGTGTGGCTACTATTAATGTAGGTTTCGTCCAGATAATATATGTTTCGGTTTTCATTTCTATGTTTCCGTATAGCTCTTAAATACCTTACTCTCCATTCAGCAATACTGGGCCTCTCAATTAAAATGTGTCTCTTAGATTTACATTTTTTAAATAAATATCCCATCTTATGTAAAAGCTGTCGTAAATAGGTACAACCGCAGTTCACAATGCCATCTTCTTTTAAAACTGCAAGCAGCTTACGAATACTTGGGATTTTCTTATCACTAGTATAAAATTGATGAATTTTTTCTTCGTATAACTCCCATGTCAAAATCATCAATCTGGATTCTCTTTTTTATTTCTTTAGGTTTCCGCGGAGATGAAAATTTTGCAATTTCCGATGTTTGTAGACTCGAATTTTCTTCAGCTACAATTCGCATTACGGTGCGGGCAGACACTCCTGTAGCCTCTGCTACTAATTTATTAATGTTCATAACATATTTGTGTTCCATACTTTCCTTGTCGCCCTTTCGTCTTAAAAAAAAACTATGTACATTATAAATAATATTTTTCACTTGTCGTGGTATTGGCGGACCCATCTTAGAATATTTATCTCGTGTATTTTTGGAGAAAACTGTCGCGTACAACTGAATCGTGTAACCGTCGCGGCGGTTGACGGCAGACTGCGTCAGCTTGATGTTTATCTACCTCCCCCGTCCTGCCGCTCACATACCTAAGGCGATGACTAGCACTTCCGCGCAGACTATAGTTAAAGTCTATCTAACAAGCAACATAATATTTATGTTTTTTGAAAATGTTGTACTTTTAACTTACTGCTATGAAAATCAATGATTTTCAAAAAATTGAGAAGTTATTGTTTTCACCCCGGTTTTTGGTAAAATCGAGTTTTCATCAGATCTCGACGTTTCTAGGGGGCCTAGACAAAATCCGTTTTCTGTAAGCGTTAACGCCAACGGAAAAATCTAATTGTATGGAGTTGACATTTGCTAACCAGATGTCACGTGATTGCTGCTTAATTGGTAGACAAAGTCATTATTCCTCATGCGGAAAGGAACGTCGAAGTGAGCGTGACACGCTAACGACAAAAATGTTCATCAAAATGGTAGACAATTGCCACTTTTGACAAACGCCAATGATATTTTGACGTTTCCGCAACACGCTATATTAGCGGGAGATCGGACCCAGACGCTAACGCTAGAAACGAGTAAACAGTGATATTTTGTGTGTCTTTAATTCAAATTAATTAGTGCAAATGCATACTTTGAGATTATTATGGCCAGCTAATAATGAAACAACATTGCAAAGACGTCAAACAAGAGTAAATCGTCGTAAAATGGTGCAAATTGTGGAGATGGAGGAATTGGAATTTGTTCATCGTTTTAGGTTAGATAAACAAAGTTTTTGGCGTCTTTGTGATGATCTTCGGCGTTTAACGTCATTGAAAGGTATCCGGGAAATTAGTTTAGAAATCAAGGTAAGTTTTGTACCTACGTATAACCTTTCAACAGAGCTAAGTACTTAATGTCATTTCTCAATGAAATCATGTTTCAGGTTTTGTGTACTCTTAGCTTTTTAGCTACGGGTTCATATCAACGCATTGTTGGACTAACGCAGCATTTGATACAAAGAACAACTAGTAGGTGTATACGTCAAGTTGTTGAAGCATTGAGCCATCCAGCCATTCTAAATAAATGGATTCTGTTTCCAAGTTCGCAACAAAAACAAGCCCAAATAAGACTTGAGTAAGTTATGATATGACAAAAGTATTTAAGTATAAATACATACTTGAAATACTTTTTATTAGTAGCATATTCTTTGATGTACTAAACACTATACCTTCCTTAAGACCGATAGGTACTTAGAAAATGCCTCATTGAGCCTTTCATGCACACTAGGTTCAAAATACTAGTAAAAACATCTGTCCTTTTAAAAACAAAATAATTAAGTATTATATTTTCCAAAATTACAGGTTTCAGAGGCGATTTAGACTCCCGGATATAGTTGGATGCATAGACTGTACCCATGTGGCAATAGTCAAGCCACCAGTTGAAGAACATTTATTTTTTAATAGGAAAGGTTATCATTCATTGAATGTACAAATAGTAAGTTTGCATTTGTTTGTGGCTCAATTATGTAAAAATAGCTTTAATTACTACTTACAGAAACATATTCATAGGATTATTATCATTGTTCCATAATTTTTTCCAGTCAACAGGTATGCAACAGTAATTTAAAAATTACTAATGTAAATCCAAAGTTTGGCGGAGCTACCCATGACTCATTCATATGGGCATCTAGCAGAATGGAAACATTTATGCGAGAATTGCACCAAAATGGAGAACAAGTGTGGTTATTAGGTAGGTAAATAAATAATATGGTATATTTTTAGATAACACTTTTGTTAAAACATTTTATTCACAAAGAATTATATTGTTGCGTAGCAAATAATTATTACCTAATGCAAATATTTATTTATGTATTTTTAGGTGATTCTGGATATCCTCAGCGGCCATGGCTGATGACTCCCATATTAAATGCAGTTCCTGGCTCAGTTGAAGATACATATACTCAGCGACATGTACAAGCAAGAAACTGTATAGAGCGCTGTTTTGGATTACTAAAGTCACGTTGGAGGTGTTTATTAAGACACAGGACCTTGCATTATCATCCTGAGGTTGCTGGGAAAATTGTACTTGCCTGCTGTGTGTTACACAATATGGCTTTAGAGGCCAATTTACCTCCTCCATCTATTATGGAAATAGAAGAAGATGATGCTCAACCTGACAATGCATCTGATAGCGTTGGTGCTGCTAGTGATCAAAGTGAGCTACTCCAAGGCAGGGCAGTACTGAATAATCTTTTATCAGGACTTTAAAAGTATTTCTGAGTTTTTAGTGTATAAAGGTATGTGTTGTGTGATTTTTTATTCTTTTTTTTTTAATTTAGGGACTTATGTTATATGATTTGTGAAAGCAATGTAACAAAACCTTATTTCTAATTTGAAGGTGTATATCAAAATTAAAGATCAAGGTTTTCTGTCAGATATGTTCCATTAATAAAATTATACACTATCCAAATTTTATTGTACAATTAATTTTATGTTAGTAAGTAGTAGATATAGAGTTATTATGTTTATTATTATGTTTTGTACCTAGCTTTAAATGAATATGATTATAAACAAATAAAATTTAATTACATTCTGCATGGAATACATGTCATAGTTTATGGGAGAATATCATGTTACTTAAATTGTAATTTTGTCTAGTGCTTGTACTAAAGTATTTCTTAGTTGTTAGTGTAATGGTATGTGATAAGTAATTTGTGAAATCAATATAACAAAATTTCATTTTCAAGTAAAAGATCAAAATTAAAAAGGTACTTATTTTCTTTAAAATATTTTTCATTATTAGAATTATACACTATGCACTATTAAGTCTAAATTAAAAAATGAAAACAAATAAAATATAAGTAATATTAATTACATAGCACAGTCAAATAAAATTACATTAGGGGTAGAATAAATTATGTTACTTAAATGCTAATTCGGTCTCAAATCACGAGTTTCTAATAGTGACATAAGAGTGTTATTTTTAAATTTAATTCTTGGATGTAGTCACGTAGGTCTGCCTCTACACGGGTGCGGACTTCTTCAACCCGAACGCGCTCTCTATCAAGTTGCAGACGTTGTGCTTCTATTTTGAGTCGTTCAGTTTCAAGCTCGTGTTGACGCACATCCCTCTCCCTTTCAAAACGCAACCGATTCTCCTCTATTGCTACAAACTCGCTGGTGGCTCGGTCAAATGGTGTTTGTCGCAGTCTTCGCTGTCTGAGATGGCGATGACGAGGTGTAGAAGGGCCGGCAGATACCGGCGACCTTTCTGAGAACACAGATGAAAGCTATAATATACTAAAGAAAACTAACGAAATATGGTGGTGATGGTGTTTCTATCTATGGTGGCAATGAAGTTATTTAATAATGTTGGTAGTTTCAATAACTCATAATAATGAATATTCAATAATTTTAATACCTTTACAAAATTAATTTTGTAATAATTACCTCCTTGTATAGTGCTACTATTTGAAGGTCCTGGCACAGGACTGACAGGATGTGCTGGTGGAGATGTTACATTTGCTGGCACTGCTATGGGTGTATCCTCTGCAGCTGATGGTAATGCCAAGAGCTCAATTTCTGCTGTTGATGACATCCTCCCTGCTGTATCAGCTGTATTGCTCACTTGGGGTTGAGATGGTTCCTAATTACAAAAATATAATCAGTTGTTGACCAGAAATATGCAAGTTTTTATGAAATCAGCAAAACAAGAAAAAACATTAATATATGAAGGGTTCACTTACTTGAAAGCCTGCTTCTTGTATGGCTTGACTTCCAGTAATTGCGGGGACCCCAATTACACGTAACACCCTTTCCTCAAGTCGACTTAATGGTTTTCCCCTACCAGACCCACCACCAGTGCCATGAATGTCCCGATTTATAAGGGAGGCTTTCTTTTTTGTTTTGGTTTTCCAGTCAGACCATACCTGTAGCACAAAATATGAAATAATACATTAAAATGTGTCTTCATAGGTACTATGCAACAGCAGTACATACTTTGCTTAATAATTAATATCTTATTACCCTTTTCCATTTGTCGGAAGTTTTGTTAACACCACATCTACCCACTGAGTTTAAAATGTCACCTAACTCTTGCCACAGGCGTTCACTCCTTACCCTTCCTTGAAGTCCAACTTGTGGCCTTGAAAGATCACCATGGCTAAAATTAATATTCATAAGATTAGTGTACAGTGAGAATAAGAGCCAGTAAACAAAGTTTGCTATTAACATTCTAATACCCTTACTAAGAAACAAGTATTAAGGTTTGGAATAGAGTTTATCTTTATAAGAATAACAAAATGTAAGAACAACAATCAAAGTGCACCATTGTGAGGTTGTTTACATTATGCATTCCATATTCTCAAGTAGGTCCAATACTAATTAAAACAGGGAACAAAATTGAAATAATGCTAGTTTTTACGGAATTTATCGCGTATATTTAACTTTTTAAATACCTGACGTTTCGAGTGCTTTACAGCACCCATGATCACGGGGGGGGATAAATTTCGTAAAAACTAGTATTATTTCAATGTGTAGTGTTCGCGTAAATACAGGGAACAAAAATTGGAATAAATGAAAACATTTGGAAAAAACCTACCTTTCCATAAATTCTATTAGCAAACTAAATTGTTCGGGACTCGCACGAAGTCTAGAATCCATATCGCAGTTTTTACAATGTCTTCACTAACTTTTTTGTAATAAAACACTTCAATAACTTTCAACACGACACTTTTAAATAATGGATGCCTTTGGCAGAAAAAAGCGC